TACCACCCACTCAAAAGAGGGGGGTGTTTGACGCTTTTTTTTTTTTTTTTGTTTTTTATATAGCCTCTCTGAGCTCTGCAAAACTAACGGGTTAGTATTTTAAGAAAGTCTCAAGTAACCATCAGTTCATCCCTATGTCCTTTTGGCCACCCCCTTCTAGATTTCATTATTTCTCTTCTGATATGTAGAAACTAGTATCATATATGGGATTCCAAATACTGTGTAAATAAAAAGGTTGAATAAAGCTTTTTCATATTTTCTCTATTTTCAAATATACTGTTGGCTTTATTGACTATACCTGTATACTGATCTAATGTCCTGAGAGATAAAAGATAAAGATAAAAATCCATTTCCTTAGGGCAGCATGTGTGTGAGTGTGTGCGTGTGTTGTGGGGAACTGTGGGGTGTAAAGCTAGAAATTATTTATTTAGCATATATGATTTCAATTATTTATCCTCCCATCCAGAGTGCTTATAAAGAAGTTAGAAAAGAACAGTCTTTTCTAGCTTTGATTCCTGACAAATCCTGTTTTTATCTAATTCTACTCATACAATGGAAGAATCTGAGACTTGGAAGAGTGGGCAGAGATCTGCTAGCATCAACTTCTAAAATTTCTGACATGGAACTTTCAGCCTATTCACAATAAGCCTCGATATAATAGGGCAGATATATATTTAGATACTTTGAAAGTCTGCTTTTTTATTAGGATGAAATATACCTCTTTCCAAGTTCCATATGTTGATCCTAGTGTTTTATTCTCAAAGAGCATTTAAGTCTAGCTGTCCAAAAAAAAAAAAAATGATACTATACTTTTGACATATTTAACAATAACTAACACAAACATTTCAAACACAAATTCAGTGCTAGGCTAAACGTTCATGGTTCCTTAAAAAATTCCTCATGTAAGGTGATTTTCAAACTTCTCATCTTGGTTGCATTCTATTGGCTACTGTCTAGTTTAACTGTGACTTGATTAAAGTGTGGTATTTGTTTGGGCACAGCATGTAGTTATTATCTGAGTAGCTCAAAAGAGAGCACCTTTGTTGTAGATGCAATACTTCTACCACTGCCGTCTAAGATATAAAAGAATTATATTACATTATGGGTCATAGTTGATTGATTTATGGTCAAGTAAACTCTAAACTTTTTCATAAAATTTTACTTAAGCCAAGTTTTTCTCAATTTTTTACTTGTAAATTAGATTTATAGTAGATGTAGAAATTTATATTTATCCCAATTTCATTTCATTTCATAAAATTCATGACATTTTAAAAATAGCTATTCCTGGTTAAAATTATGATCTATTTAAAAAGTGGTGGAAATTTAGTAGACATTAGGGTTTAAGTATCTATTTCATAAAGTAACCATTTATACATTATGTGAGCATAAAATGTGATTTTTGTGGGTGACATAAAGGACTTATTAGTTTATGGTTCAGCATCATAAAACTCATTTTTATATACTTAGTATCAACATTACTTAAATTTTTTTGTACTGTCAAATATTTCAGAGTTACAACTTGAATCAATGCTTTAAG